GGATGCCAACTGAAGAAAAATAACCCGCATGCAAATACAATCTGGCCCTGACCGCCGTTCCAACGCCCTTCCGCCCCCTGCTCCCACTGCCCACCTCTCTTGACTAAGATGCATGCAAAGGAAAGACCGTTTTCCACTCACCCATCCCACCCTTATGACTCGATAAACAATAAATAGCATAAATAGGATAAATTAGAACATTTAAATAGATATTTCTAAATTCATGCCGGCAGCTGCTCTCCTTGTTCACTCGGATATTAAAGGGTGTGTGTGTGTATGTGGGGGGAGGTCTTCCATCAAAAAGAAACAGATGGGCAGCTTCTGTCTCCCCTTCTCCCCTGCCTCTGTTTTTCCCCCCAGGGGAGGGATGTGAATAATGGTGTGATCCTGCACCTGGCCGGTGAAAGTGTGCAGGAAACGGCTAAGCCCAAAGAGGCTTTCAGATTTGCTGAAATTTCAAGGAAACCCTCCTGGAGATTTCAACGGCAGCCCTTGAAAGCAGAGGACAAGGCGGTGTCTTAACACAGACACCCCTGCAAGTTCACACACACAAAAAAACCAAACACAGAAGTATAGGAAAACTGTGGGTTTAGGCAGAGCAGGGCAAACCCGGCCCCGGGGAGCATCACTTTGAGGAACTACAACTCCCAGATTCCCCCAGCCACCCTGGTGGGCACAAGGCTAGCAAGAGGATTCTGGGAAACGTAGTCAGAAAAAGCAGCTGCCGCATGTCCTAGTGATGGCTAACCATGTTTGCCCATCTCTGTTTACACAGGTTAATATTATAGCCCTTCTTCTGACAAACCCACCTATGTCAAACCCTGAAACGGCAGGTCTCACCCCATAGACCCACCGAGCCACCCCATTTTCCGGCTGTGCATCAAAGGTCCTTCAGTTTAGCAATGTTTCGTATTTCCTAGACAACATACAATATATTAATCTCTTCCTCGCTTGCAAATCCTGCGCAGCCCAGACGCATGCCCTCCCCCAGACCATCCCATACCTGGTTTGGGTTGGCTGTCTCGGGTTCTCTTCGCCCTCCCTAGACTCCAAAACTCCCCCTCCAGGTTTACGGATTTGTTCCGTGCCCCCCAAAAATCTTAATTTCCCAAAGGGCAAGACTGAAAATGTCATTCTTCCCCCCCAAAAAAGGAGAGAAGGAGCAGCACAAAATAAATACTGTAATAAATTAAATAATAAATAAATATACCCAGAACTCCATATGTTTTTGGGGAGGGAAGAGACAGAGAGAGTGAGAGAATGCCATCTTTTCTTTCTTTCTTCATCTCTCTCAATACTCCTGAAAAAAAGTGAAAAGCCCTCTTGCTTATGAAAACAAGCAAAAGGTTTCTTGGGTCAGATGTTGTGGGAAGTACACATTCCTCATATATTCCCTGCAATTAACACGTTTTCCCTGCAGTAGTGGGATTTCCACAGAAATGGATGCCTCAGCAATAGGACGTCCAGAGTGTTTCCAGGCCAAAGCAGAGCTGAATGCAAAACACAGAGGTTAAGAGTAGTGCATGCTGTGACAAACAGACATCTTTCACTGCTTGAAGGAGCACCTTTTCTAGATCCGTGCTATGCGAACTGTTGCGTCTGACCCAAGGATAGCTTCTTGCTAGCAAAATTGGAGTTATTGCTTCAGTTGGGGATTTGGAAGAAGAAGCAGGGGAGAGGGGAAAGGCAAGTTAGAAGGTAGCTGGACCTTGAGGTCAACGGGTTGGTGCCTTTCGGAAGCACCCAGTGCGTTCTAAGAAATAGGAACTTCCATTGAAGCAGTGGCATTTGGGTTTGGTCCCAGAATGTTCACCTAGCAATGCCGAGACTTGCCATTTGTTGCGAAAACCCCATTTGCTCCTTGGAGGCTGGGCTTCTTGCCTTTTTAAAAAGTCCCCCTTCTTCACCTTAGTTCCCTGAAGGCTGTAAGTGCGCCTCTTCTCTGCCTTCCCTTGGCCCGGCAAAGACGGTGCCTCAGTTCTCCCTTTCGCAGCTGTGCTCGGCCCCCTTGAAGCAGGCCGACTCGCAGTGCTTGTTGAGGTACGACTTGAGGGCGAACGTCTTCTCGCACTGCCTGCATTTGTAGTGCTTGAATGCGGAGTGGGTCTGCATGTGGGCCCGGAGGTTGGAGCGGTCGGCAAAGGCCTTCCCGCAGTGGGAGCAGCCGAAGGGCTTCTCGCCCGTGTGGGAGCGCATGTGTCCTTGCAAGAGCCAGGGGCGGCTGAAGGCCTTGCCGCAGACGCCGCACTTGTGCTGGAGGTTGTGGGTCAGGATGTGCATGGCCAGGGCGGGCATGGAGACGTACGCCTTGCTGCAGGTCGGGCACTTCCTGGCCATCTTGCTGTCCAGGCTGCGGTGCGTCTGCTTGTGCCGGCTGAGGTTGGACGAGGTGGCGTAGCTCTTGCCGCACTCGTTGCAGGAGTGGCGGTGGCCGCCCCGCCGCTGGTCCTCGCTGCGTCGCCGCGAGCGCCCGTCCGTGATGAAGAAGGCGTCCATGGAGTAGCTCTCGGTGACGGCCGCTTCGCCGTGGAAGTAGTGAGAGGAGAGGCTGGAGCGAGGGCTCTCCGGGTCGCTGAAGTCCTCCTGGAGCGGGACATGGAGGGCGCCGGAGGGGGCCACATGGAGCCCTGGCTTCTTCTTCTCGCTTGCGTAGCCGGAGGACGCGAGGCAGGCCGGGAGGTACCCTGCAGCAGGAGACACAACAAAGGGTGCAATTAACTCACTGAGTCATTTGGGGACATTCCCGCTGCGCCTCATTCTGGAACTACCTAGGACAGTGATGGCGAACCTGTGGCACACAGAGTCCTTTCGGCCAACACTTGAGCCCTAAGTCGCCAGGTCGCTACCCCCCCCCCCGCAGCCAAACCTGAGAAGGTGGCTGTAGCCACGGTATTGGCGCTTCGTTGGGCAGATCCAGAGCAGCTGGTGCTGGCGGCTGCGGGTGGGGTCTCGAGGCACCTCCATCCCTGGGATCCTCCCTTCCACCACCACTTCCGGTTCCGCTGCCGCCATGTCGCCTACTGTTTTTTATTTTATTATTATTCTTTTTTTTTTCAGTTTGGGCACACGAACCCAAAAAGGTTCGCCACCACTGACCTAGGAGGTCAACTTTATTCTTTAATCATTTATTTTAAATGGTTCTACCCCGCCTTTCTTCCGACGTAAAGCAGCTTAGGTAATAAAGAACACAATATTAAAAGCTAAAAACGTGGGTTATTCAAATATTAAAGAAGAATTAATCACATTGTATTAAAAGGCTAGGTAAAAGCATTACAGGAAAACAAATTTAGAAGCAACAAAATATAAAACATCCTGTTTATTATATCCTAGATAGTCAATCACTCAGGGAAAGCCTGCCTGAAGAGCAAGACCTTGGCCTGTTGGCGGAAGGACAGCAAAGATGGGGCCAGGCTGGCCTCCAGTGGGAGGGAGTTCCACAGTCTGGGAGCAGAGACAGAGAAGGCCCTCTCTCGGGTCCCCACCAAGCATGCCTTTGAAGGTGGTGGGACCGAGAGAAAGGCCTCTCCTGATGCTCTCATAAGGTGGGACCGAGAGAAAGGCCTCTCCTGATACTCTCATAAGGGGAAATGCAGTCTTTTAGATAGCTTGGATCCAAGCCATTTAAGGCTTCATAGATTAAAGCCAGCACTTTGAATTGTGTTTGGAAACTGATCAGTTGCCCATGGAGCTGCTGTAATGGGGTGGTGGTGGTGGTGGTTATGTGCTCCCTATAACCAGCCCCCGTTAACAATCTGGCTGCTTGTTTTGGACCTAATGACATTTCTGGACACTTTTGATAGGCAGCCCCATGTTGAGCACGTTACAGTAGTCCAGCTAGGACAGACCTGAGGCATGTGTCATCGCGGCCTGATCAGACCTCTCAAGAAACTGGCACAGCTGGGGCGCTAGTTTTAACTGTGCCAAGGCAGTCCTGGCTTCTTGGAGGACCTGGGCAGTTAGGCTCAGAGATGAACTCATCCCTGGGTGGCGCTCCTGGGTTTTCAGAGGGAGCGTCACCCCATCCAGCACAGCCTGCATCCTTATTCCCTTTACTGCCTTTTTGACCAACCAGGAGCACCTCTGTCTCAGTTGATTCGCCCTCATCCAGTCCATGACAGACAACAGACACTGGTCTAGAGCCGAAACAGCTTCCTTGGATTTAGATGGTGGGGGAAGACAGAGTTGGTTGTTATCTGCATACTGGTGACTGGATTTAGATGGTGGGGGAAGACAGAGTTGATTGTTATCTGCATACTGGTGACACTGAACCCCAGACTCTGGACAATCCCAGAGATTTCACATTGATGTTAAAAAGCACAGGGGACAACCAGAACCCTGAGGGACACCGTAGGCCAGCAGCCAGGGAGTCCCCTAGTACCATATTTTTCCATGTATAAGATTATACAGTGGTGCCCCGCATAGCGAGGTTAATCCATTCCGGATTAACCTTCGCTATGGGAAAACATCGTAAAACGGATCAAAAACCCCAATTG